ACAACCAAGCCCATCTGCCTGCTCCGAGGACAGACCGCTGCGTCGGAAGGGGCAACTAGCGTCGAGGCTTCCTTACCAGTTCTTGCAGATGCGTCTCTCCTCTTCCATTTCTCCGCTCGGACTCTTTCCATCTTTCACTTTCATTTCTGCAATCTGGAGCGGCGGAAACGAAAGTGAGAACATCTGCCTGCCCGTAGCACATCCCTTTTGCCGCTGCCGCCACGGACAGAAACTGGATTGACCAGCCAGGATGTCTACTCCCTTCAAAGACAGAACATCTGGGAGCCCCCCGCTTCCCGGCCGAGCGCCAAACGCCCGCAGCTAAGTAGAGTTCAGTAAGAACTCCTCTCTTCTCTTCTCTTCTCTTGGAGAGTTGGGTAAGATTTGGGAAACCACCAGAGGGCAGCAGAGCTCCTCAGGTTGGCCTTCCTTCCCCATCGCCAAGGCTCGGAGACGAGCACGCTCGTTGCTTAGGTCCGCTCTCACGTTGCAGCAGGGAAAGCGCCTCACGCAGCAGGTGGTGGGACGGAGTGGCTGAAACATTCCTCTTGTGGGGCCTAGCCGGTCCCCTCTCTTCGGAAAACGACAGACGTTTTCAGCCTGTCTTGGGGCACCGAACTAGCTTGCAGCTTTCAGAAGCAGAAGACCCTGTTCCGACGTAGTTTGTTTCCATAGGTGTAATGGGAAAGTTGGGGTCCTTTTCCAAGGCTGCTAAATGTGGGCTCAGCCTTACCCAGCACTTTTGCTTGTCAGACTAGCGTGCTCTTTCCTTTAAAAGTGGCAAGATCCCTAGTGGTTAATCATCTAGATCCGTGTTTCTCAACCTCAGCAACCTGAAGGTGTGTGGATTTCAGCTCCCAGAATTTCCCAGCCGGCATGAAGTTGCTGAGGTTGAGAAACACAGATCTAGAGGACTCTTTCCCTGTTTGTAGTTTCTGTTGGCACAACAGCTCCTGACGATGCCAATATTTTGTTTTGATTGCATAACATTGGCCAAATCATCCCCCTCCAAGATGTAAGTAGTCTTATACTGATGAACAAGATGTTCTCCTCCTTAAATCCCCATAGAGCCATTACATATAAGTTTGTGTATTTCTCTCTCAGCCTTGATCAGTCATTGGCAGTTTCCTGGAGGTGGGTCCTAATTCTTAATAGGAAGGAAAGCATGCAGTGGCCATTCATTAGTCAGTCAGCATCCTCAAAATATTCTCCTCCTTCCTGCTCCCCCACAATGAGGAAAATATGTTTTGCTAACACCGGTAAGGTCAGCCTACCGCTCTCTTGGGAAGAGCCAAGCAATGTTAAGAACCTACAGCAAAAACGGCTCTAAGAAACAGAAGAAGCATCTTTTGGGTGCCAGGGCTGACTTCCTGAGATACAACACATGTATCCCCAATGTCAGAGCAATGTCACTCTCATACTTCACAAAAAACAGGTTTGAAGCTTGTGCAGATCTGCCCTGATAAATCTGTTGATCTTCAAAATGCTCTCTGGATTTTTGCTGAGGCTGATCACACTCGTTGCAATTCCCTTGGAAATGTTAACCATAACCATTGTTCCTAAAAGGAGCTGTGGCTTCCCAAAGATGGACAATTAATACAACTATCCAACAATGAAAAACCTTAGGGCCAGGATGAGATCCTCAGCAGATTTCCTCTACTCTTGAGAACGGGTGAACCAGAAGAATTCTGGCTCTTGGGACCAATTCAGTCCCACAGTGCTGGGACTACTCAGGCTATGGGTGCAGCAAGAGCCAAACCTCTAGTATTCAGCCAAGGTCGCCAAGCAGCTCTTGAGATACCACTATTTTTTCTGAACTTACCTTTCCTTGGGCCCCTTATGATGTCTGGACCATCCCCAGGAGAGCAAATAATGTTTTACAGCCCATCACCTTGCCCTCTAGCCATGTAACAATGGTTCTTACTGAGTCAACCAATCCTGTCTCTGGGGTTTCAACCAGGCTGTTACTCAGCAGCCATTGGGGAGTGGAGTTTTTGAAAGAGTTGTTCACTTTCTCATCGAATGGTATAGGAACCACAGCCAGGTGGTGGCCTTGGTTTCCCATGATGGAATCATGATGCTGGACCTCAGAACCACTTTAGGGTAGGGAGTGGTTTCCCTTTCCACTCTTCCCTTTCCGTCCATGATCTCATACATTGAGATCGTGATGATTCAGTTGCTGAGTTCATATAACACACTTAACCTGGATGTTGAATTAAACCATTTGGGGAGGTTCTGCAATAGATTCCACCTAATCTAACCAATATGATTGGGTTTGCCCGACATCCTAGGTTAACAGAGAGAGAGTGAGAGATGAAAAGTTCAAGTTAACCAAGTAAAGCAGGAATGCAGCTACAGTAATAGGTCTTTAACTGGCCTAGTTTAATCAGTTGTGTACACCCTTGCTTTAAGAGCGACTCAGACCTAGATAACTAACTGTACAAAGGCTAAAACAAGTATTGTTGAACTTTAAAGTTTAAAACTTTAAAGCCTGTTTAACTTGCACCGGACCATAACTCACTTCCTTAATGCATGAAGTGCATCATTTACATATATTCATGGTTAAGGGCAATTATAGCTCAGTGGAAGAACCTGTGATTTGAAAGCAAATGTCTGTAGGTCCACTCCTTTACATCACCTGGAAAAAAACAGTCTAAAATTCCAGGAAGCCCCTGCTAGTTGGTGATGACTGGGAGATAAATTGGAGCTAATTTCCCAGGGAAGGAATACTGCATGGAGAATGAAAATAACCAACTGCCATCTAGCACAAAGCAGGGGAAGTGTAAAACCAACACTTAGGACAAAGAGTTGAATTTAAACTCAAGCTTGGTGTTCCTCAACCTTGGCCACCTGAAGATGTGTGGCTGGGGAATTCTGGGAGTTGAAGTCCACACATCTTCAAGTGGCCAAGGTTGAGAAACACTGCTTAAGCTGGTATGACTGCAGCTTTAACTGTCCCAAGGCTATCAACTGTTTGAAAGAACGTCATTCCTAATGGCCAATAAGAATTCTTTACAGCTGTGTTGTGCTAAGTGTTTAGAAAGCTTCAGCCAAGTTTGAAGCAGTCAAGAGGAATCTGACATTGGCAGTCCTGGGGTAGCTGAATCTATAGCCTGACTCGGTAGTTTCACACAACACAATTGGCTATAATGGTGACTAGAGTGGGTCAAGCATGTTGTGTGAACCCATCCAATTAGCTAGTTTATGGTTGTGTATATTCTGTTAACTCCGCCAACTGAGTTAATTAGTTAGCCAAGGCTAAATTTAACCCAGTCAATGAAAAAGCAAAAAAATGCATTTGCACATGTAAATCGTGGTTAGGTGTGGCTCAGTTTGTGGTGCAAAGCTTACTAGTTTGCTAGTTTATATTTCAAAATATTGTGGCCCAGAAAATGGGATAATTTAGTACACAGGTCAAGCATGTTGTATGAACTGAGTCAACCAGTATAAAATAACTTATACTGAATCAATATTAAAGTAAACAGAGACATTAAACACAAAGAATAGTGACAATTATATTATCGTAAACTGTCTTGAGATTATTTTGTATCAAAAAGCAACATCTACATCTTTCAGTAATGAAAAATAATTATTAAGAGTGGCCATTCAACAAACAGATGTTGCTAATAATGGAAACATTGGATAAGTTTTCATCTCTCTTCCTTTTTGTAAGTTTTTATGCAAATCTGATAAAGATATTTCATGCCATAGATTCATCTTCAATGTCTATTTCAGAGGTTGGCTCCTACAGACCTTGATGGCCTTTGATGGGGCCTTGAACACCTGATTCTCCCCCCCCTTCCCAGGCACTGGGCCAGGATATCGTTTGAACTTGCCTAGATGTGTTCTTGGAGTTAATCGTCCCTGAATCTGTATGTTTTTATCTGTTATTTCGTACACTGATTTTTTAATCATATATAAGATACCCAGAGTTGCTTTGTGAGTGGTGGCCTTAAAAATTGAGTAAGTAAATAAATTATAATACTAACTCAGACCAGGTAGACTGTAGTTGGTGTGATACAGACTGGGCATCTAATGGTGAGTTGTGGTTTTGTAGAGGGTGATTCCTCCTTAGCTGTAGGGGACTGTCAGGCCTCCCCCGGGTGAGAGCTGGGAGTGGGGCAGCAATCTGGATTGTCCTCAAATTGGATGGAGGACTGAGTACCCTCACCAATACAGGCTGTCTGGTGGAGGGTGGATGTTTGATTGCACTGGGATGCTGTCTGGGATAACTGGAGGTGCTGAGTGTGGGAGCAGAAGTGCCCTGGGAATCCAGATAGCACCCAGGTGTGTTTGGTTTTGTGATTTTTATGGAGTGGGGGTCCTCTGACTTGAGGGCCAGCTGATATGGGTTGGGCGAAGAAGGAATTACTGGGGGCTTGGGGCAGGCCAGAACATCTCTGTGGTGATGGATATGGGAAGTATGGTGGGAGATGGGGAGGTCGCTCGCAGGGAACGTGGCCTCAATGTTTCATTCCAGGGTTGCATTCCGGCTGCCTGGGGTTGACCCTGTTTCCCAGTCATCTCTTACAGAGGCAGTGCTTCACCCCTTCTTCAAGAAGCCATTGCTAGACCCAACTGTATTGAACAATTTTCATCCAGTTTCCAACCTTCCCTTTTTAGGGAAGGTAGTAGAGAAGGTGGCAGCTCCAGAGAATGGAAGTCACAGATTATCTGGACCCTTTTCAATCAGGTTTCAGACATAGGTATGGGATCAAAACAGCATTGATTGCACCTGTTGATGACCTCTGGCAGGAGTGGGATGGGAATGGTATATCCATCCTTGCTCTTCTTGACCTGTCAGTGGCTTCTGATACCATTGATCATGATATCCTTCTGGATCTGCTCTGGGAGTTGGGAGTAGGTGGCACTGTGCTTTGCTGGTTCTTCTTCTTCCAGGGCTGGTTCTAGTTGATGTTGATTGGTGAGAGGTCCAGCTTCTGCTGTGTGAGGTTCTAGAGGGAATGCTACTCTCTCTGCCCCTGTTCCACATGAAGCCACTAGGTGAGGTCATCTGGCAGCATGGAGTGAAGTACCATCAGTATGCTGATGATATGCACCTTTACCTCTCTACCCCTGGCCACCCAAGTAATGCCGTGGAGGTTCTGACTCAGAGTCTGGAGGCTGTGGGGGTTTGAATGGGGAACAACAGGCTTTAGCTCAACCCTAGCAAGACTGGCTTTGGGTATTAGGGCCCCCTGATTCTGGGGATTTTCCATCTCTTGTTCTGGGTGAGGTTGCACTACCCCAAACACAACTTGTGTGCAGTTTGGGGGGTCCTCCTGGACTCACAGCTCCTGTTTGAGGAACAGATGGTAGCCATGGCTGGAAGGGCCTTTGTGCAACTTCGTGTTGTGTGCTAATTGAGCCTGTTCCTGGACTGGGAGGCACTGCTCATGGTCACTCATGCCTTGGTCACCTCCCAAATGGACTACTGCAATGCGCTTTACATGAGAGGATATCCTGATATCTGAAGGGGGATGTCAGGAATCATCTCTGGGTAATAGGTCTGGTTCAGTGGATGTGCTATAGAAAAAGAGAATGCTGGCAGCCACCAGGTTAATACTACTACAGTTGTAATACTATTGTCTGATTGTATTTCAGATGTAATTGTAACTTTTTTGTCTTTATAAATGAGGTTTGGCTTCCTTGCTTGGATGAGACTTCAATTAAGCCAAGTTGCAATGATGGAGTACCAGCTACTTAGGAAAAATAAGTGAATCCTGCTTTAATGCAGCAGCTTGGGCCACAGAAGTTAGCAAGTGAAATCCTTCACAGCACCATCTCTACTGATTCTGGCAGACCAAACATGTTTAAAAGGCATCGGGTGAAAGATGGCTCCACAGCTGGAACCCCCTTGCAGTTCAAAGACTATTTCTCCATTTCCATTTTCTGCATCTTTTAATGAAAATATCTGACTGACTCTTGTAAACAGCATACCCTTTTGGGGGGATTCAAATGATAGAATGAAGCAAGTGAAATCGTATGGGCAATACAGCTATGAAGCAAATTAGGGGTGTTTTCTCTTCAGGTGGACCCCAGGAACTCATGAACATTCCCTTGCAGGTTCCAGTGTGAAGGATCCCAAATCCTCACCCCCCTTTCCCTGATAGACTCTGCTTTTGATGAGCAACAAAGTGCATATCTGGAGAAAGGAAAGATGAGGTAGTATCTTCAGTGATGGCAAAGGAACATAAGTAGTCCTTGGTTCAGTAGCAGACTGAACCATTGTTTCTGATCTGAAGATCACAGAGAGTTTTGGGTTGGGGACATGCAAGTCATAACAGAACCTGAGAGCTGTTGCCTTGGGTGCTATCAAAGGAGATCTTGAGGGAACACAATGGCTTGGTAAATAGGGACACTGTGGAAGAACATGCCACTCACTCTGCTACCCTCCCTCCTTCATACAAAGACTTATGTGAGCTCCATGGTGCGTAACAGAACAGTACGAAATAGGCTGTGTTGGGCACTGCGAGCTGAGGGAGGCCTCAAGGTGGCCAGTTGTTTGGGGGTGGTTATTGTCTCCTGCCATATCAGATTCAACACAAGGGGCTGAAATTTACCAAAGTGATTCATTCATATCTGGGATTCCAATTCAACATTTCTTTTTAAAAAGGGATACTTTGAAAATAAGCACCTTAAATATTACCTGATGCTGTCATAATTCATTCAGAAGAAACATCATTACCATTTTCTAACCAGGCCAACTCAAGTCCCTCAAGACAACTGGAGTCTACTTCTTTAACTGAAGTTGCACAACACATTAAACAAAGCAAAAATGAGGCTGGATAATTTGCAATCCGGTGTTGTGGGAAGCCAAGCATTTCTTAGCATTTATGTCAATCAAACCATCTAGTTAAGCCATAATATGATTGATTCTTGGGGTGGGGGGTGGGGAAACTATGTTATATGTACACAGTTCTTCACTTTGCTAAAACAGGAGCTGGGATTAATCTATTATGTGAATTTAGCCTTTACATGGGGGAACTACAAATGGATTTCCAAAGACATAGCAATATTAAGTCTTTTCAAACAAACAGTGAGACTTTCGGCACCCAAACGCCTAACTAATAGAATTATTTTATCACAGATGCTCTTGTGGATTGAAATGAGTTATAGCTGATGAAGCAGACTGAGATCCACAAGGCTTTAGGTGACCAAAAAGAACCAAATTTTTACTCTTTTAAGATGCCACCTTCTGCTCTTCCTCCTCCCCTTTCTTGAATTATGCTGTTCTTCATGCTTCATTCTATCCCAGCCCCTTGTCTATTTCTATTCCTAGAGTGTTGGGTTTTTGATTGATTGATTATGTGCCATTAAGTCATTATCGACTCTTGGCGACCAAAGATAGATTTTCTCCATGATGATCTGTCCCTAACCTGGCCCTTCAGCTCTTCCAACGGTGCCCCCATTGCCACTGCAACTGAGCCTATCCATCTTGCTGCTGGTCGTCCTCTTCTCTTTCCCTCCACCTTTCCCAGCATTAGACCTTCTCCAGAGAGCTAGGACTTTGCATAATATGTCCGAAGTGGGATAATCTGAGCCTGGTCATTTGTGCCTTGAGTGAGAACTCAGGGTTGATTTGTTTGATGATCCATTTGTTTGTTTTCTTGGCTGTCCACGGTATTCTGTTAAATTCACCAAATACTTGCTGGAATGGACATAAATTTAGCAGGAATAGAAACTGAGGGAAGAAAAGAACAAGACAGAGCCCACAGAGCAGCAGGGGTGTCTGCAGAATGCGGGTGCATGTATGAAAAAAGTCCACGTAGCCGTGGCGTTCATCTGGATTTGTTTGACCCTATCCCCTGGACACCCCTGCACTGCAGTCCCTTTTCTGAGGGAATCACTGTTTTCCAGAATGCAATTCCCATTTAACAGGCACTTTTTGCTGACCTTTTAGAATATGAATGTAAAGGATTCACCTTGTAACTGGGGGGAGTCTGACTGCAGCTATATTTGATACTTTTGTGTTCAATTATCTTGAAGGTGGACAGGTTTAAACATGGTTCCTTCCTTCATACACATTTGAGGTTGCTTTGAAAATATTCCCAGAGGGCAGCAAAGTCCAAGGGGCCCCTGTCACTATTCCTAGTTTTGCTTTACTTGTTCTCTAGTCAAATTTTACAACCAGATTTTACCAGAGTAATCAATGGAGCCAATTTCACAACAGTGGCTGCTTTCTTCTAACAACCACAGGGGTCTGCAGAGTAAGGTCAAAAAAGTCAAGATGGCAACCACGGCGGTACAACTGAAGCTCTACGATGCACATAAAAAACAGGCAGAGCAAAAGGCGAAAGATTTATATGATCCAAAGAAAAACCAGACAAATGGAAGGGAAGGGGAGGATAATTTTTCTTCTAATGTAGCAGTCTTTTTTTGTATCGCCTTTTGTTTTACTTCCTTTGTATTTCAATATTTTAACAATAAGCATATGGGTTAAAATAAAAAACAGGCAGAGTTCAATCACATGGTTGTGATTGACCTTTTTGGCCATAGACCTCTGACAGTATCCCAAAATTGTAAATCCTGCAACGTGAAACACTTTGTACTTTGCAGGTCAGAGATGGAACGATGGCTGGAAAGACCAATCACAAAATCAATCAGGGGAAGAAAACACATTTTTGAGAGGAGATTTAAGAGAAACTAATAATGCACAAACACGCACACACACACACACATTTATTATAAATGTGAAGAAAAAGTGTGATCATGAATGGCTTGGAGAACAGATTTACTGTATCAGTACAATACCCTTAACCAAGCCAGCTGGAGACTGTGGGACTGCTTTCTCACATGCTAAACTTAGTTAACATTGGTTTGCTTTTTTTGTTGCTCAGCATGTTGTATGAAGCTAGCCTATTTAGCCAGTTTATGGTTCAAGGTCTGGTGCACCAGCTTCAGTGCGGGTTTTCTGGGTTTGCACAACACATTGAGCCAGGATCTGTTTCAGAGATTAGAACACAGGTTTTCCTCCCAGTATTTTGGTAAACGGCTTGCTTCTGGAGTGACAAGCATTCCAGAGCCAAACTTAGGCCCTTGCTAGGGCACCATGGTGTGTGTGCGTATCTCAAAAAAGTTAAAATTGGGCAGTTGGGCAACTGAAGCTCCATCCCTTTTTTACATGTCTTGCAATGCATGTCGAAAAGGGGTGTGGCCTTCAGGGCACAGACCCACCCATCCTCTAATTGCATTCCCAATACAGTACTTTGGAAGAATCTCAGACTGGAAAAGTCTGCCATAAAAAAGAGATCGAGGGGGGGCAGTGAAGCCAAGGAAAGCATGGGTTCTCCTCTTGCCAGCGCAGGACCCCCTGCAGGACGGTAGGAAAACAAGTCCTTTTCTACGCAGGCCTGATCACCTGGCTGTGGGGAGGCCAGAGTTCAGGTAGAGGTGAAAAGGAAGCCACAATGCAGCCAAGATCCCTGCAGAGATCAGAGGTGGATTAAGGACTCTTCTTGGCACAACTTGCTCACCAGCTTCCCTCCAGCTATGTGGAGAAGCCAGTTTTTCTGGTAACTCTTTGATGCCCGTATCTTTGATAACTCCCACACTGAGGGCACCCACGTACACAAATGGGTTTCCTAGGGAGAGGGGCCTGTGCTTTGAGTGAGGCACCCCCAGTTGCTCTGGGCCCTGTCCCCCCTTTGGCTTCAGCAAGGGCACCCAAACATCTGGAGGCTCTCTAGCTCAGCGGTCCCCAAGAAGGGAGTATGTGGGAAATACACTTCTGACACCCCTCCTCACAGTAGGTGGACGCCTTTGTGCACGGTAGGGAAGGGCTCCTTGTATTTCCACTTATCAAACACTTTTCTGAGCTGTGGGAGGAACATGCCAGTGGTTGTTTCATAAGAACCCAGATGCTGGCTTGCAAGAAATCAGATTCTTTTGGCATCTAACTCAGTATTTCCAACCTTGATTAGCAGGAGCCTTTTTCTTCAGCTGGAATTGACTAGGCCAGAGATTTCTGATTGCTAAGCAGGTGTTTTCATCGTAACCTGTGATCCCTGCCAAAAATTTCATAATTTATGTAAAGCTGCCTTACACCAAACCAAATCATTAATCCTTTTCCATATTTCCTGGGGCTCCAGGGGATTCCCCATCCTCATAGCACACCAATTTCTTTTTTCCTCCTCTTTTATAAACAATATTGAATATTTGAAAGCTGTGTTGCATTACGTGTTGAAAGCATTTTTAGCCTTTGTTCACTTGTTTTCTGAACAGACATGCATATGTACCCATCACACAATTCCTTTTCAGGGTAAGCAGAAAAGGAAGAAGAAATAGTAAGCAAAAGAAAAAAGGCATGAAGGAAGAGAAAAGGAAATGAGCTAAATCTAGTTTTCCCCATCTTTTTCTGTTGAGATGGATAAATACTATATCGTATACATAACCAACATGTAATTATCACATGGAGTATGAGAGGCTGTTAAAAGAACAATAAATGTGGAATATGGTATAAATATGAATACATGTATAAAATCATACAATCAATAAATGATATAAATGTCATGCATAGTACCTGTTAGTACTATAATATTTGTTTCCTTCCCCATCAACCTATTGCTGTTATTATTTACACCTATGTACCCCCTTTTTTCAGAGGATTGAAGGCTTTAATAAAATAGTTATACAAAAAAGGTGTTCAGCTGCAATTCTCTACCATTTAGCCTATGAAATATTGCCAGGTGAGTGTTGGAAGAACCCAAGATTTCCCCTTTCCCATCCCACCCGCAAAAGCCGCAGGAAACGGTGCAGAGATCCTAACCCTTCCCCCATGCCTTCAGTAACACTGATGGTCCAGAGAGGGCCACCATCACTAGGCTGCAAACATCTGGACAGCTAGATGGCAGTAAAGCCATTGTGTTTCCTCTAGCCCTTTGTTGCCACGTTTAGTGGTTATCCAAATATTTACAGACATGGTAGCCAAATCATGGGCCCCATCAGTAGTCATAGCAGAACATCTGCACAGAAGGAAGGAGGAACTGAATGAGGGATGAGTATGAGGGAGCATGCCAACATATAGGTTTTCTACAGCCTAGATGAGAAGTTTTCCTTGGGACCCAGAGAGGTCTCTTTCCACTCTGAACACCACCTTTGAATTAGACCTGGAAATGGCCCCTGACAAAAAGATTGGCAGTGTGATGTACTGGTTAAAGTTCTATACTGGGACTATGGAGGGTTGAGTTCAAGTCCACCCATAGCCATTCAGGACAATGGTAATTTTGAGCCAGTCATGTTTTTTCAGCCCAAGCTACTTCGCAAGGTGGTTGTTGCAGGAAAAATGGCAAGAAACTGCTTAGACGTGTCACTTTGAGCTCCCGGAAGAAAGATGGAGAAAAATATGACACATAAATCAACACCAGGTAGTAATCCTTGTTTTGGACTAATTGAAGACAGTGATATATAAGAAACTGCAATGCTCAGTTCCCAATGAAAGCAACTCCCATTGAAACCAACGTAGGTTCAAAGAAAAGCTCATTTATTGAGAAGTGGTGTAGTTCTAGAGCATTGCTGAAACTAAAAGCCCGCGTGCGCCAAACTTGATTTTATCCTCTTTCCCATTTCACCTCCCCCTTCTATCTCATAGTTCTTCTTGCGCATGTCGCCAGGTCATCTCCTGGTCTCACGCTGGTACGGCCTTGGGCATTCCTGAGAAACAGGTAACAGTACATCTGCGGCTAATGGCTCACCTACTAACTCTTCCCCCCCCCCCCC